TGATATTTTACACAAATTTGATTCTCTTGAAATTTAATTCTGATTTATCGTATCTCTTTATAGATTATAGGATTTAAAATATTTTATTTACTACACACACACACACACACGCACACGCACGCACACACGCACGCACGCACACGCACACGCACACACACGCACACACGAAATTTCAAAATAATTAAACATCTAATAAGTCCATTCATGATTTTCATTTTGTATTAAGTTCTATTATCTAAATGAAAAAGATAGGATGTCTTTTATGGTTGTTCTTTACTCGAAAATATCTGAGGTCGTTGTGCAAGCACTGTATTATAATATCTTTGTTATAGTATCTTTATATAGCTGTAAACATTACTTAACTGTACGATGTGTACGCGTTGCATTACATTTACATAAGTTCGCGCGATGTCGTTGCTCTTTCTACTTGTTTCTTTTCTCTCTTAATATCCCTTTTCCTTTTCTCTCTCACCGTTCATCGCCCTTGCGTGCATCCTACGATACGTCGTTCAAGAATTTTTTTTAATGATGTCCCATTGTGAGAAGATTCGTTAAATTTTACGGAGAAATACGATTCGCGTTTCGTTGTGCAGCCATAATTATACCGATTTTAAAATCTTTTTTTAAATATAAAGATATATTTAAGATATTTAAGATATTTAAAGATCCTCATAAGTTATATAAATATTGATATCGCTTATCTTTATTAACCATATTTATTTCTAACTAATCGACTATTTTCAGGACATCATACACAGCAATTTCATTTTGCCTTAAAAACTTGTCGAACACCAATTTCATTTTGCCTTAAAAACTTGTCAAACACTTATTGTCTCATATATTCATTAATAGATATATGAAAGACATAATTGATAATTTATAATATAATCTGATAATGACATAATTAAAATATTAAAATTAAAACGATATAATGAATACCAAAATTTTGAAGATATTTCTTATCTATGAAAAAAACATTAATTTCACATAATAAATCTTTTATGTTATACAAATTGCAAAAATTTATTTAATATTTATTTAATATTTAATATTAAATATTTATTTAATATTAATTTTAGTCAATATTAATTTTAACTAGTAATTTTATTTTATGCTTCCAATGATTTAACTCTAATTCACTCCGAAATATATCTTATGAAATATGACCTGTTTTATTTATGGAGAAAGCTATCGTGACACCGAAAATTATCTGAACGTCGAAGAAAACAAATATAATTTACAACGATCTAATTATATGTGACGTTGATTAGCTGTTAGTTACCGTGTTAGAAATACTCCACTTCAATGCTACCTTGGCATTCAGGAGGTACCATGTACAATGCCTATAAATCGTGGCATCGAGACATGAGGTTGGTTCATCGAGTCATTGGCCCTGGCTTCCCGACGATAAAGTCAAACGTAAATCGTTATCTTTATTGTGCCACAGCACTCTTTACGCGGCGCGCCTGCAAACGTTTCGAAATCGACTCTCGTCGAAAAGACCCTTACCACTCTTTATCTTCCGGCTTGCCGAACATAACGAAGACGTTTCTTTCTGGTGAAAAAAAGAGGAGTACGACGCGACAACGGTGAATCGTCTCGTCTCTCCCTCCCTTTTAGGAGCCGCTGCGATCAACAACATCCCTCCCTCTCTTTTATCTTTCTTTTGCTCTTTGCACTTGCTCATCTCTTTAATTAAATATTTTTATATTACTTTTTTAGATACAATTTTAATTTAATTCAAACCACCAGGATGTTATTCTCCTCGATAATATACTGCACAGCGAGAACGTTCTCCGCGCTTGTTATAAACAACATTTCTCTTTTTTATAATATGAGCGTTGTAAGTAATGCGAGTGTAAGTGAAATCGAACGAATTATTCTCAACGGTGATTAACGTCACGCTTGCTATAAATGTTGAAGCAACGCACGTAGTTAATGATAATTGTCCAACTGTCTTAATGACTTTAATTAAGGACACTTTTACAATGCTGCATCATATGATTCATATGATCATGATTCTCTTTTTCAATTGATCCCTTTTTTTAATGACTATTATTATTAATATTTGTGTAAAATGTAACTGCGTAAAGAAATCGCGTATGTCTCGTGGCGGAATAAATTACTAAGAGTATAAAATCATCATTGTATGCAGAAGAGAGTCTAATGATATAACATAAACTGCAAGTGCAGATAATAATAAAAATAAACATTTATCAATTAAAATAAAATTGCAACTAATTAACGCATGAAAATGTAATAAATTTATGCGTATACGTAAGAGAAACGTATTTATTAAAATAATAAAGTAACCAATAAAATAACATATTCGTAACAAAATATGCTATAAATTGTTTTTAATAAAACCGATATTTTATATTAATAAATCAGCATAATTAGCCAACATTCAAATTACGATAGTTATTTATCATCTGAACGTATAATGAAATACAAGAATTCTTCGTTAATTATACTGATTAATAATAAACATATTTAGGCACACGGAATATTACAATAAATAATACTATCAACTATGAATTCCATCCAAGTTAATTTCAACAGAATTTTTATTAAACATTTCATTTCCCGTACAAAACAAGACGATCACATCCGATTTGGGAGCGACCGAAAATAAACACGTTGCTGAGATGGTCCCGAAAAGAGAAAACGATTCAAATTTATCTGCACTTAATCGCGCAGCGACGTTGCACGAAGTAACGGTACTGAGGCAACGGTACGAAGTTGAAGTCGAAGTTATCGTTTGTTTTTCCGCGCGCGCCCTGCTCTTCAGAGATTTCTCGTCGAAACCCTTTGCGCGCAAGAGGAACGCCGCCGCCATGAGCCCTGCCATGTGTTTCGAATGAATTTACATGACGTCCCACCGTGTACCTACGTCACTTTTTGCCGTAGCTACACGCGTGTGCGTGTGCGTACAGGCGCCCGTACACACACACGCGCGCGTATCGCGTATGCGTGCGCGCGCGCGCGCGCGCGCGCGGCGGCCGC